ATGTAAAATTTATATATTTATATGTATTACTGTCTTTTATTACTAATGCTTTCAAAATATTTGTTATATTGCAGACAAACTACAATTTGGAGCACATGGACGAGGACAAGTTCGCGTATGTCAATCGGCTCTTCTCCGAACGCTACAAGCAGCGGAAGAGTGACCTACACCAATGGTTCCAGGAGTTTGATGATCCACAGGTCGCTCTTGAGGAGGGATGTCCGAAGGAGTTGGAGGACCGACAAGATAGTTGGGTTTGGCTTTGCGGTCATTTTAAGGACCCGACATATGTGGTGCGTTTTTAATGACGACTTCTTCATTTTACTTTTTTTATTTTTTAATAATGTTTATTATTAATTTTTTTTAATTTTCTTTAACTATTACAACTAATACGTTTATTTTTTGTATAACAGAAGAAGGCGAAGGCAAACAAGATCAATCGAGAGAATAAGACTCTTCTCCACCATTCGGGTTCGAGGCCTTTCTCCTATAGGATGGAGGCGCGACGGAAGGTATATATTACAACTTTCATTTCCAATTTTAAAATGTCGCTAATAATTTTTTTTTTTCGTACTAACATTTTCCTTATCTTTTTCGATTTTAGGAGGGTTTAAAATTTCCGGAGATCGACGTCTTTGCTGACTTTTATGTTCGGCCTGGGAATGAGTTAACCCAGTCCCTTCATGTAAGTAATTTCTTATGCATTAAACATTTATACTAATTCTTTCAAATTGTTTTCTATTAATAATCCATGTTTTTTTTTCACAGACAACTATGGTGGAAAAGTGACAGGTGGTGCTTCAGGAGTCCGCCTCCCACCTTCCTTCGGACATGCCAATAGAGTCTGTGGATCCCCCTGAGGATGCAGGATTTCACATCGTCACTGAGACGTTGGACTAGACTTTCGGTCGGAGGCCAGGGACATATTGTCGGGGGATGGGAAATGCCAGGCGTCGGGAGACTGGAGCCTCGTCATCCTCGCAGTCAAAGACCAAGGTTACGGCTTTGACGCAGGAAGTTGCTGGGCTGAGGAGTGAGCTGGCATCGTACAAGTCTCAAATGTCAATGCTTGTGTAAGCCCTCAGTTCCTCTGGAATACATCACCCCGGTTCTTCTACACCATCGCCCTCACAACCCTTCCACACCGAGCAAGCACAGCAATCAGGCTCATCGACCTCCGACCTCGTCCCCAACTAGCAGCAATATTACCAAGCACCTCCAAATGACATGCCTATAGATTTTGCCTCTTTATTTTCGTAGTTTTGTTCCCTTTTTTTTTTAACTTTACATTTGTACGTACATTTTATGAAATCTGTTTTTTTTTTTCCTTTTATTCTATTTTTTTTATTAAAAATTACACGTGCGCGACGACGAAATGTCGTCGCGCAAAATTAAGCGCGTCTTACTTTTCATCGCGCATTACCACATGCCTAGTATAGATTTCATCACGCAAAAAGTTTTGAGACAAATTACCCACAAACGCACTTGTACTCATTTATATCGTACGACGAAAACCTTTGTCCATATAACTTTTGCGCGACGACTAGTAAAGCGTCGCGCAATTGTTAAGACGCGCTACAAATTTGAAGATGTTCGTCGCTCAATGTCTTTTTTCACGAGCTTTGTGCGACAAAATATGCGCGACGATTTTCTGGTAGCCAAAGTTTATGTGCGACCAAATAATTCTTTGCGTGACAAAATGTCCCTAGTCGCGCAAACTGTTTAATTTAGTAGTGGGGGTAGGGGCTGCCATAGGCTCATGGCATTTGCGGCTGTGAGTTGAAATTTTAAATTTGATAGACGAATTAGATTTCTTCAGAACAGTATATTTGAATGAGCTGAAAAATTGAGGAAGAAGGGGTGTTTATAAAGTAGATGTGGAGATGAATCAAATGGTAGGGATTGGATGTGGTACTTGTTTTGGGATATTTTTTTTATTATGAATGTGGTATACTCTCTATGTTCTTCCACATGCAAGACATCCAAGTAATTTTTCGTCATAACCTTCTCCGGCATAGAGAAATTATTCAAGTACTTTTCACGGCGATCCTTATATCTTTCAACTACTAGTTCTAATATAACCATTAGAAATCTTATAGTTAACGCAAACCTCCACAATTGCCTTCGACTCTTTCATCTTCTTACACTTACTCCTTTGAGTTTTACCACCAATACTACTCGCCAGACCTCCATAACTGAAGGTGCACCTCATTCGTCCCTAACTAGCTGTGTGGGCCCAAGCATCGTCATCTTCTGGTTGTGGACTCCACCATAGCTATTGCTTTGCTACTGCTATTTTTCATAAGGTACTTGGGAACCTTGTGCAAATTGATGAAAGGGTAGGGTTTGGGTAGTGAAAAAAGGGGTATTAAAGCAATTAGTAGTGGCGGTTTGATGGAAGTTCGTCGGGAAGGTTGATCGCCCTAAACCCTAAAACCAAATTAAGCCTAATTAAATCTTTGTGCGATGGAACTTTTTCAAGTTCGTTGGGCAAGATTTCACTACCTTTCGCGCCATTTTTCCCCTTAATGTCAAATGCTTTCCGACGAACAATGACTTGCCTAACCAAAATCATTTGTCACACAAAGCTTCTGCAAAAACAAAATGTTGACCATATTTGCCCGACCAAGACAATTTTCGTCAGGCGAAGTCTATTAACCCGTTGAAATCCCTTCAGGCAAATGGTAATTTGTGTTAGTGTTCTTACATTTGTGCCTTACATATGTTTTGAACACCTAAGCCTCCACTACAATGATGTGTTTTGTTGTCAAAGTAATTTAAACGTGTCTTAAACATCACTCAATATATGTGATTTAAATGTGTCTTAATGCCTTATTTTTAGTATGTATTTGTGTATTTTTTTTTAAACTAGGATGAAACCTAGGTGCTTAGTAAGCATATTTTACCAAGTTGGAGACGTATTATATATGCTATGCATATTCACACCTCATGATTACTATTATGACTTAGCTTTTCAGTTGGAAGGATTAAGGTGGAGTTGTCATTACGTTTTCATATAATCGATAAGTGTAGTTGTGATCATATATTTACCAGTAGGAGCTGTCAAAATAAGGAGAAAGGTTAACCAATGTGAAGCTAAGTACTTATATATGCCGTCCATTTCATCCAAGAGGAAGAAGTGTCTGCCGATTATTTCTCCTATAAATATGTAGGAGCAGCACCTCATTAGTTTCAAATGCAGCAAATGTATAGTTGAGAACTAAGGTAGTTGAGTAGATATGGTGATGGCATGCAATGCATGGAATTGTCCACGTAGAGAGTGAAAAAAAAAAAAAAGATGTGAAGAAAGGGAGACAACAGAAAGGAAAGAAAGTGATTTCATGTGGATATTTTTAGTAGGCTTGTAAATGTGCCAATTCATGCATGGTCCATCTCTTTCCCTTGCACTACACCTCTCTGTGTCCCTCCATGTCTTTATGTGGAAAACATATGTGCACTTCCCAAAGCTGCTAATCCCATTTTTGACGCCATGTTGAAATTAATTATCACTTTTTCCGCGAGTTACTCAACCAAAATGTTCTTCGCACTCGTTATGTTCCCTTTGTTCATCAACTAGCTGATGTGTTTACCAAAGGTCTCTCATACGAACGTTTTCAGTCTCTTGTTCTCAATCGCAAGCTCCACCACATTTCGTCTCGCTTGAGGGGGTGACAAGACTCGCACGCCATCAGCTCCTACACTTATGCCATCATCGACATAAGTCAAACCCTAATCACAATCATCCTTAATTGTAGGGGTTCTCCTTATATTTGTAATCAGAATCATAGCATGATTGTATTCAATTTACTTACTATAAATATGACTGGTTAGTGAACACTTGTACCTATAAAGATATCAATGTAATATTGAACAGGGTATCAAGGTCATGACAACCAAAGCACATTCTCCTCTCTACTTCAACCAAGTCTATATTCTTATACAAATAGGTCCATATTTTTTACACTACGTAGGTTCCAATACTATCACGAGATGGAGGGGTAGAGAAACGTATGAGTATTGGACGACTGAGATAAGCTCAGAACATGTAGGGGTAGAGATATATAGTGTGATAGAGGTGAGCAATTCGGAAGCAAGACCTTTTAATTGGGGCAAAAGGAGGAGGAAGGCAGGTGGTATTATCTGGCAAGTGGGGCAACTGTCTCCCGATTGGTTTGACCAAAGAAAGTGACAATCCGATCCATTCCTAGGCATCCTTGCTATTACTTTTCCTCCCCCATATGCCACAGCCAGCCGTATACCCATATCAAACTCACAGTCACACACCCTCTCTCTCATTCTCTCCAATACATACATGATGTATACACACAGTATTTTTTTTTCCTTCACATTAATTAATTTTTTTTGATCGACTTCACATTAATTGTTTGTTTTTGTTTGTTTTTTTCTCTCTCTCTGAGGTGTGAGGACTCATTGACTTGAGTCCCTTGCACAGAGAGAGTGGGAAAGCAGAGAGAGAGAGAGCTGGTGGGTAATTGTGTTATTAATTTATTACCAACACATAACGCACGCATGCACATGCTGACATTATGCATGTTTGTCGCAATGTCTCATGCTATGCAGTCATGCTCATGCTCACATGCATGCACGGCTTTACTTTATCTTTTATCCTACACAGACACAAACACACCCTCGAGTTCCTGCAGGTTCGAGCTCAGTAAACGCTTGCGTGGGGCTCCACTTCTTTAGTTCAAAATTCAGTTCAGTTTGTACGTATTCGTATTGATAGATCCGGAACACAAGATTGGCGGATGGAAATAGGGGTTAAAGTGGTCTCAGTATCACTTGAGTTCAGAAAATATACATATGAAGGTTTTTTGAGGACTCTCTGTATATTTAATACATGTTTATTTTGTGTTTACTAAATGTTTAATGTAAGAGAACTTTAACGAAAAGATTCTGGTACGGTTCACTTTAACGAAAAACCATATTTTTACACTAAAAAGTCAATCCTGGTGCTATTTACTTTACCCTTTATTTTGTCCTTATCGTTAAAACTCAAAGTTTTCAAACATTTTTCATTAGTTTTCCTTTAATGTAATCCACGTGAGGCATATTTAGACAGATTGTGTTGAGGACACTCAAAAAATTCTCTCTATAGCACTTACCATATTACATCAGCATATGCTGAAATCTGTAGATATGTGCACAACAACTCCACGAAATGAACAAATTGATTTATTTTTACACGCTTCGCGCTCTATTCTTATCTAAAAAATTTGTATTAATACGAACCCCCAAAATTTAAATTTGGATCCGCAACTACAAGTTCCTACAATATTTGTCATCATAATATACGTGACATATCATGCCTAAAAAATTTTGTTGTTCCTGTGGTGGCCTGCAGGCCCTGCACACACATGATGCCGCCCCCTTATATATCCATATATGTTGCCGTAGCTAGGCGCAGGTGAGGTCCTTGTTGGGAAATGAGGATTTTATCTGGATTTTTTTTGTAAGGTCGAAGATCTTTCAATCGCGTTTGTTTATAGTACATCATACAACTAGTTTTCTTCAGTACTATTCATATTTAATTTTAAATAAAAAAAAATTACAATAATTTTTAATCGCATAATATACGAACAGACATAATTAGAGAATTCCCAGAATACTCATCAAAAGAATCCGAAGATAATCCTCTTTCCTTGTTGGGCGGCTTCATTTCTCACTTCTCAGTTTAATTATATTCTACTTCGTACATATTTACGTAAACGTAACATAGGTACAAAACTTTGGGAACCTTTCATTTCCATCCAGCTTAAGCTGAAGCTGATGACATGAATGCCCATTTTTTCTTTCAATTCCTTTGGAATAAATTTAGGGAAAATTAATGAAAATGACTTGAAAACTTTGAAAGTTAATCAAAAGCCATGTGATAACTTTATTTAATGGTTATGACAAAGCCCAACACTTAACCAGTCCAATCAAAATGACCCAAACATTGAGTTCCCTATTTTACCGCTAATGCCAAGCTCTCCCCGTTCAATAACTCTTTCCCTTTCTCAATCTCTCTGTCCATTCTCTGCTATTATTTTTATTTCCAATTCAATTCCACTTCCTCCATTGTTGCAGTTGAATTGATCGAATCTCTCCCTCTTTCGATCTCTCCACCCAACCTGTTTTTCATTTTCAATTCAAATTCCACCATTTTTCGAATCAACTGAATCAATCGAATCCGATAACACGGGCGAGCGTCTCAGCATCAAGCCTCTGGAGCTCAGTTTCTCCTGTTAATATAACGCACTCTCTTTGTCGATTTCTGCAATCGAATAATGATGACGGTGGAGACG